TTCAATGATTACTAAGTAAATAAGGCTCAGATGTGAATACTGAAAAATTAATACCACACAACCTTCTGATGGTGAACACCACAAAAAACAAAATAAAGCCAAAATCCAAATCCTAATGCAACGATATCATCAATGAATCATAAAGTTGCAACAGAAGCTGAGAGCTGTGACATCAGGTAGGATTTCTGCTAAATCACTCAGCTGGTTTAGGAAAGTCAAGGTAATGTGTTATATATGGTCAGAAATGAGTTGAAACATAATTTCAAGATATTTTATATAGCAATTTTAATATTTCAAAAACAGGTCTTCAATTTTCAAATTGAGTATTTATTATTCTCTGATAGGATGTTCTAATCACATATTTGGTTACAAATAAGGTCATAGAAACCCTAGGAGGTTGCTGCTGACATCTAGTGGCATAATTTTCAAAAAGCTAAATGCATTTGAAAGAGAGAGAGAAGAGAGAGAGAGAGAGAGAGAGAGAGAGAGAGAGAGGCATATATACATATAATATGCACTATTAATTAGATAGGTAGACAGACCTCGCTGGGTACACTCAAGGTCTACTGGACATCCAATATCACAAATTATTATACTCAGCCTAGACCGCTTTATCTTCAATAACTTGATTTCCCTTGATGCTAGTCCCACAAAACTGAAGAAACAAAAACTAACATAGCTGCTAACGCATTTAAAATGCCAATTCCCTCAAAGCTACTAGTTGTTTACTGGAAATTGCCAATTCCTAGGGATGCACAACTATTAATAGTTCCATCCAAACCTGCAACAGATCCAATTTCATCTCAATGTCCCAAATAACAGAAACCGTTATTCCAACTTCCACGCCTCGCATTTAGCTACTTTAAGATTCTCCCTACAGAGACTCCTTTGTAGAGCTGGGTATGTGTTATTTTAGACTGTATTTCCATAAACAAACATGTACATTCTCAATAACCGCAAAATTTCTACATACAGATTCAACGACAGTCAGACACCAGAGATCACTCCAATGATTTCTAACCATACACATGAATGATATATAGGAACATAAAAGAAAGTGAAATTTGTGTAAAAATTTAGAAGCACAAATATAACTTCTAACTACATGAAGTAGATTTGTAGCACATGTGTGTGTATGTGTTGTGGTGTGCACATGTATGTTGTGCATGCATGTGTGTGAAGAATAGCACAAAGAAGGAGACATTCTAGTTCTGGGATGCATCTTCATTTGACCATTTTGAACATAGTAGGTGAACAGTTAACTGATAAATGAATAAATGAATGGGATGGCTGTTTCAGTATACTCATTTTCCTGTTGATTCTTATGAAAACTCTGGAATAAGCAGTGTTCTCACAGGATACTGATTTCCTCTTAAGCAAAAGCGACTTCGTTGAGGAGCTCAGGTTAGATTTTTCTCCAATGACATTTGCAAAGTGGCACAAAGCCAAGTGGCAAGAGAATTAGGCCATCTCTCCTTGGTGAGAAGAGCGTGTTTCTACAGTGGCTTTATAAATTAGTGGGTCTGAATTTAGATTCTACTCTCTTTGAAAATAAGTGGTAAAAATAGAGTAGGCATTCAAGGTACTGCTAATTAATATAAAACATAGCTAAATTATAATTCACAGTATAAGGCAATCTCTTTGAGGCTTTTAAATTTTCCTTCAGTGGAAAAATTCTGGAGATTCAAGAGTACATTCTTTCAAAATGTATCTACAAAAGAGTGAAAGTGATTGGCAAATACGTGGTTCCCTTCAAACACAACAATACAATGTATTCTCACATAGGTACACACATGTATACATAAGAAGATGTAAAACTATGTATACATTAATAAGACTATGATAAATACTATGTCTAATTGACTTTACTGAATGAAATCAGGCTAAGGGAGAGAAGAAAAGAGAGTTGTATCATGATGAGGGTTCAGAAGGCTAATTTTTAAAGAGAAGTTTTAGGTTATAAGGCTATGCATTAAGATTACAGGCTGTGGATGAAAGAAAACTATGCATCTACTCAGTCTGCTATAAGCCTAGCTTTTAAACTAATGTCCATCAAGATGTTTAAGTAAATGTTTACTATCACATTTGATTTTCTATAGGAAAGGTAACTACATTTGAGAACAAACTTTAATATTCTTACACAATAAAAACCAATTCCAGACATGAAAAATTTCTTGAAAGTCTTTCCAAAAATACAAACATAAGAATTGATTGTAATAATGTTACATCTATTTCATATTTGTGAAATATATTACATATAACAGTATAGTTATATAAAAATTACTAAATATATTAAAGGACACTTTACATTTTGAGCTAATTAAATTTGCCTGTATTTTTGGATTATAAAATTAAGAATATTAGGGCTGGGGATTTAGCTCAGTGGCATAAGCACCTGCCTGGCAAGTGCAAGGTCCTGATTTTGATCCCCAGTATTGCAAATAAAATAAAATAAAATAAAAAATTAAGAATATTCTGATCATACCAATAAGTTTTAGTAATAAGACACTAATGAAAAATCACTTAACTAGGGCTGATGATTTAGCTCAGTGACCTAAGTACCTGCCTGGCAAGCTCGAGGTCATGAGTTCAATCCCCAGTACCAAAAAAGAAAAGAAAAGAAAAGAAAACTATCCTTTCTAAAAGAATGGAATGTAGACTTTTCAGGTATGTGCACACAGAAGACTACCTGTTAATTCAACACATTGCGCTCTGGGATCCTTTGCCAGCGTTAATCTTACACAAAATGAATGCGTTTATCATTATTCATTTACAACTAGGATAAGGCACGAAGTTGCATTAGTTTTTAAAAAAAGCACCTTTATGAGTTCATCTTAAACCATCACTATTTAAACATTGAAAGTTAAATGCAAGATGACAATATGTAACCTATTAACTGGTGATATCTTACTGTATTTTTTCCTTGAAATTCTGTATTATTTGTACCTTTTACTGCTTTGTTCTTTTTTATTTCCTTTCTTTTTTTCTCTTTAAATAATAATAATAAAAAGAAAGTTAAATACATCTGCCTCATCTGAGATAACCGAGACAAAGCATCAATAGTACTCTCTGCCTTATTAATGAAAATTCTATGAGATGAAAATCACCCTGTTTAAGTGAATCCAAGGAATGAAACTCCGGGCACCTTGAGATGAACCCATTTTTCTATGCCAGTTCTCCCACCTCAGTCCCCTCCTCCACACTCTGACACAAAGACAGACAGTTGGGTCACAGCGACTTTGGTAGTGTCATGATACCAAAACACGTGAACTCTGGCATTCTAGCGAACACATTTATTCTCATGATGAAAAGAAGCAAATTTCATTATTCTGGATTCACAAATGCTAAAACTCTATAGTGTCAATGAGGAGCCCTCTCCTTACTACTGTCTCCCTCTATTACACTCAATTCAAAATGTCTATCTGAATATTACATATATAAAATATATCCCTAATGAACTGACAGTGTTAGTGCATGAACACCTCTGGGAAAAGGAAACATTCACATGAATACATTTGGGAGAGTCTGTCCTCTCATTCTTTATTCTCATTCTAACGCCTGGGGATCCATGACGTCCTTTACCGGCTCCTTCTCATACAATGCGACACACACTTTCATACTTTGTGCACGGCACGATCTTCTGCTGATCCCCATCAAAAAGTACTCGCTCCCGCTCATCTCCCTATCCCTGTCATGTAGTTCACCCTCAACTTCTTCCACATATTGTCAGGTGTTTGATCTTGTTATCAGGTTCCTTGAAAGGCACAGAAACCCTCAACTCATTTTATTAACTATTTTCAGTAATTTTGATCTGAATTAACATTTTGGAGTAGATGGAACTTGGATAGAGTGTCCTAATTCAAAAATCTCTCTTAGGAGAGAGAAGCTGTTTTCTCAAAGGGTTTACATATCCTCTGAAGAACTAACTGAATGCAAAAGGTAAGCACAAAGACTGCAATTGATAATGTAACAATTCATTCTTGCTAAACTGCAAATAAAAGTTCAGAAACAAAATTTGTGCCAATATCCGTTAAATTTAAAATTCTACTTTTCAGCATTCATATATTTTGAGGACTTCAATGATTACCCAAAAATAAAAGTCAGTTTCTATAAGTACGTAAGAACATATTTCAGTTAGCATGAATGTTTAAGCACCTAAGTGATATTACAGATATATACGTAGAGTGTACTCAGTAGATGCATCCAGTTTCCTCCACAATTCTGTCTGAAACGTTTCTGTAAAAATATTTTTTGAAAGAGCAGTTTTACTTATAAAATATACATATATTGCGCTTGTATACTCACACTTTGTTTACAAGCATATGTCATTAGAATATTTGCATGGGTTTTTATATTCTAAGGACAACATATGTAAATAAATCACATAGCAATTTGAAAATTTAGCAACTAAATATGCAATCTGTTAAGCATAATCAGGCATGCCATTCAACAACTGTATAATTCAATCTTTCCAGAGAAAATATGTATTTTATATGAGCATATCTTCATAAAACTTGAAGTAGTTTTCTAGAAATTTATAACAAAATTTTTGCATCATCAAACAATAATATATAAAGCCATCTGACTAATGCTTTATTTCCTCATAAAGGAACAATTCATCCCTCATCACTAGACCATGATGAAGGTCTTATTCTGTAATTTAATACATATGTAAATACAGTGTACCAACAGAAGTTATTTCCAGATAAAGAAAACGCAATCCTCTCATCAAGATACTGTTAATGTATCAACATAAATGAAACAGTGCCATCATAAAAATAATCATTATGCACAATGTTTCCAAAAGTTGTTATGTATTTTTAAAATGCTACTGTTCATTTCATAAATAGTGATGACCATAAACCCTTCCTTATGCTATTCAGATGATTTACATTTTTGATGAGTCACTCAATATTAAAAATCAATAATAAGGAAAGTCAATCGTTTCATGTAGTAAACAGACCAAAATAATAACAATTAAAAAAAAAAAGCATTACTACCTTGGTCTGACTTTTCATGCAGAACAGCAGATCTCTTGCCAGGTAACACCATTTCTTTGGGTTCTGTGGACAAAGAGAAAAAAGTTGAACCAAAAAAACCCTTTCTTTTTACTGTTTGAGTGCTTCTATTAAAAGATTCATTAGTAATAAAGGTCAGAGAAGAAAATCATTCAACAAAATACTCAGCCCCATTCTGCAGCTGCCTTGGGAACCACTTGCTTTAAATGCCAAATAACTTCCCCAAAGGTCCTATCTCTCTGCATCTGAGAACTTAGGTGACTGGGGCCCAGACCCAGCCTGACTTCTCAGCACCTCTTTCTTCTCTTATGTGGGAATAAAACTTGCACTTCAGCAAGGAAAGCATCAGCTTCCACCATTTCAAAAGCCAAGACGCAATAGTCTGTTGGAACAGACTATTGACTTGGAATTGGAATAGGACGAATTGAAATTAAATCTGCAATATTCATGAAATTTTGGGTCTTTCCACCAAATGACAAGATGAGAGACTTGGGATGATTCTGAAAATAATTTCTGATTACCCTCCTTAAGAGATGCAATTTCAAAGCCTTTTTGTGCTGCATTGAGGAGGAAAGTACTTTGTAGAAGTCAGAAGTTACGAAAATATATCTCATTCCCTCCCTGAGATATAACAACCTTGAAGAGAATCCCATAAAAGATTTTATTGCATCATTATCTGAATGTTCAGATAGGAGGATAAGAGGTTCCATCTGAGCAATAGCTTTTCAGAAAGGGCCATCACACAGATAGGTGAGAATTTTAAATTCATGCCATAAGAAAGTTACTTGACTGAAGGAATGTTAACAGTTAAAAGTGACATTGATTAACTGATTATAGCAGTCATTACAAGCATAGTCATTTGAATGCAATCACTACGACATCTTATCCAATATATGATCTTGGAAAAGTGAATTAAACTCTTCTAAGCCTTTATTTTTCATCTATAGTGTGGGAATGATAACTCTTCTTACTTCATAGTCTATAGGAAAGCTAAAAGATAAACACAAACAATGGACCTTACACACCACCAAGCTAAGCGTTAATGTCAGCCAATCTCAGTGCCAATATCATTGTTACTATAATTTGCATTACATTCATTTTCAAAAATCTCATTGCCCCTTTGAGAATTAATGTTAGAATGAGCAACATGGAAAACTGATTAAGTCCTATTACACTAGACAATAACTAATTTGCCTTTTTATTAATCAATTAACTATCAATTATAATCTTTGATAACAAAGAAAACAAGGCATCATTTTAAGTCTTTAGCAGGAGGAGGAAAAGGATTGAAACTATTTCAAGAAGATTATTAGTAAGCTGTCACCTGCCCCTATCTACTCTCAGTTTTACTGAGGATTTTGTTTCAAGAAGCTTCAAGACACTGCGACATACTTCAAGATTCACTTAATGCAGCTGGTCCTTGACTACTGTGCACACTTAATCACACTCAGAAAACAGTGAGTTCCTCCTGCAATCTACGGCCTGTGACACACTTAAGAGAAAGTACAATAGACAACAAGATTTAAGAAATACAGTTTAGTGGAGGAAACACACTTGGGGACAATTATTTTAGAGTAATTGGTGGAAATACTACCTTAAACAAAATAAAATATGTTAAAGCAGCATAAATTATGGAAAGAATATTATTCATGAAATTAAAGGGGAAAAGTACCCATCTAAAAAATAATCTTTAAATTGGGCATGGTGGCTCCCACCTGTAATCCCAACACTTGGGAGGTTGATGCTGGAGGACTGTTGTGAGTCCGAGACCAGCCTGGGCTACAAAGTGAGCTCAAGCCCAGTCTGAACTGCACAGTGAGACCCTATCTCAAAAAGACTAATAATAATAATAATATTTTTAAAAGCCAGTCAGAATAGTTGAATGACTACATGTGGATGGCAATCAGTCCTATTGGTGTGAGAAAATTTTACAGAACAGAAGGACTTTTAAAGACTAAGTCTGAAAGTTAACTGTCCAAAAGCCCAAGTGTAAAGGAGTGGTCCCAGGCTAGGGTGACACACCCTTATAACCACACAACTTTTGCAACCTGAGGCAAGAGGATCACAAGTATGTCAGTTTGAGACACCAAGGAAATTTAGTAATTTATCAAGAATCTGTTTCAAAATTTTTTTAAATGGGGGGGGGTACAAGGGATATAGTTCAGTGCAAAGGTCCTGAATTCAATTTTCTGTACCATGAATAGATAGGTAGATAGACAGATAAATAGACAGACAGACATGAAACTAGGAAGCATCTCTAACTACAGTCATACACACAACCCTGACCCCATTTAAAGGAATCAGGAAGACCAAAGTCTGCATATCCTCTGCTGTTGGTTAAGTTATATATGTCAAAGTCCTCCTACCCTGATATTTCTGAATGTGACTCCTTTGCAAATGAAATCATTACTGATGTTATTAAAATATAAACACTATGAGGACTCACTAGAGTGGGCCCTTACCCCAACTAACACCCCTGATGTTCTTACAAGAGGAGGTGAGAACAAAGACAAACACAGAAAGAGTGGCATGTGAGGATTGCAAAGACAACCCTAGGAAAAAATGCCAGTTACCACAGAGCCAGAAACTAAAAAGAAGCATCCTGAAAACAATGAGTGACAAGCTAAGCTAATGCCAACGGGCTAAAAGAAAGGCTTTCCTATTCTTCCTGAGAGCATAATCCTCATGCCACCTTGATTTTGAACTTCTAGGCCCTAGAAATATGACAAAGTGAATCTCTCTTCTTCTAAGCCACTCCTTTTCCACTGATTTGTTGTAGAACCAGAGGAAATCAATAAAACATCATTTCAGTCAACAAGAATCAGACACCTACCAGACTTCGACCCCTCAGAGCTTAAAAACACAAACTGGCATGGTAGCCCACCAAATACATCCTCAAATTAGAAAGTATGTTGCATTATATGAAAAATACATAGAAATATTGTGGAATTATGTCTTATTCCCTCCCTTAGCCAGTCTCCTCTCTAGAGCTGTAATTTGCTGTAAGTGGAAGACAACAGCCAATGAAAAGGGATTTGCTGGTCTCACAGCTTCCCACTTCCTACTTTTCCTAAACAGTTACACCCTCCTGTCCTGACGTCTTTGAAATATGAAGAGTTAAAAAAAAAAAAAGCAAAAAAGCAAAGGTGAGGACAGAGGAGAAAAATTGTGAAGGGAAAGATTAGCTTCGTGGTCACTAAGCTACGGGACTCACTCTGTGGGCCTGGGGTGTGTTTAAGGGTAATTCTCTCCTGTGGACTCTTTTTTTCTAGATTCTTCCATGACCTTCTCTCTTACACTCACTGGAGACCTCTGCACTACTGCTGGTTTGGAGACTCATATTGTCTGAGGTTGTCACTATATCCATAGCTTCAAGTGACACCATGAGCATCTGTCTACTGACCAGTTCACCTGCTGAGCAGTTGTAAGGGACAAACTAAGCAACCTATGCCAGCCCTCCCACATTTGTAGCACAACCTATTCCACAGTAAACTCTCTAACACTCTCCAAAAAAGTAGGGCCATTTCAATTTGGCACTTCTGCACTGATGTGCTTTAAACTGCTCATGAGCTCCTCACTTGTCATTTATGGACATTTTTAGCACATTCAGCTAATTCCAAATAGAGATCTCTGTAATCCTCAGAGTTCCCAACCTTTTGAGATTAGGAACACAGGAGTTGCCAAGGCTCTCCTCTTGGTATTAGGAAGTTTCTACAAGGTGATTTTGCTCATATATCATGTTAGTACCTGATATCTATTGCCTTATGTGTCAAAATTTAACAGTTTTACAACCTGTGATACCAGTATTTTACAATCCGTATTTTAATAGATCTATCAGATAAGCAACTAAATATTATACCTATGGAACAATAAACAATTGTGTTTAAATTTTTAACAAGTTTATTAAAGTAAAAGACAAACTGTTATTAACCCCACTGAAAATATTCCCCTTCATTTAAAATACACTTATCCCATTATTGTTATCACTTTCTGAAGCAGTTCTGGCAGTCCTCTTTCATAAGAGTCTTTATCTGTGCTGTTGTGGCTGCTTCCATGCCTACATCTATTCAAAATATTTATCTTTCATGGTCATTTTGACTTTGGGAAACAACCAAAAGTCAGACAGTACCAGATCTTGAGAATAAGGTAAGTAAGAATACACTATAATTGTGTTTATTTCAGAGGTTGATTTAAATATTTGACCAGTTGGCAGTGATCATAAAATACGGTAAAAGTTTAATATATATATATATATATTTTTTTCCTGAATAACCATGAATTTTACATTGCTATTCAATACTATCTCTACTACTTAGTCAAACACAGTACTTTGTAGCGGTCACATTGTTCAACCTTGGCTTTGTTCTCTCTATTTCTTCTGGTTGTGGTTTAATTCTTACGTTTTAGCCTCTCATAAATTTACCACCTTGTCAAAGCTTTAATGCAAACTTCTCTACAAAATTACCTCTATGCATTCTGGACTCTGTTGATCTTATTTTTTCTTTGATTTTTTTCATCAATTCCAACCAATAAACCTACAATTTATTTTCTTGGGTTATCTTGAATTGTCATGTCTGTTAATTATACTTTCCACAAGGCCAGATGTATCATGTGCCTCTCACCTATCTCTAACTGTGTTTAATTATGTGATCAACACATAGAAAGAAAGCGCACACCCAATTGTTATCTGTTACATATCTAGTAATGAAATAGGACAGAGCTATCTCATGCAGTGTAAATATCTTCCTATGTGCTATGATAAAAATGTGGAAGTATATTCTTTATTGTGGCCACATCAATTTTTAAAACATTTGGACAGATTAACAGAAAGGATGAAAAAAAAGAAAAAAAGGGAGGTGATAGGAAATCATATGACAGGAATGCTATTGCTCTGAGACACACTGCAATGGTATAGCTAAGGTGGAGGAAGGCAGCACAGAGGTGGCAGATAGCCCTGAGTGGCACAATTTTTGGGTGGCATTATTGACTAAAAGGAAAGTTATATGATAACAATTATGGTTCTTTTTAGCCATATTTGGTGTTAA